GACAGTTCTGCAAATGTTACTTGTGATGGCAGGATAAAGTCTGGCTGTTTCTTTTGAACACACTGGGGTTGCCGTGGGAACCCTCCCATTCACCTGCACGTTGTGGTAATTAAATCACAGCAGCCCCTGCACATGGGCCTCACCAGCAAACAGGCACGGTTCATCCTGCCCATCAACAGCAGAGGATTAAAGACACTGCCCCTGTCTTTATCTGGCCATTCAGACAAGCAGGGACCTATGCTGGAGCAGCAAGAGGAGAATTTCAGGAATACCCTTATTTTGGCAAGAAACACACCAGTGTAAGCTGAAAATAAGGAGGTTTAACTTCTGCCTGCTGTTAAACAGTGTCACACGTGCTGTGTTCAGTGGCAATCAAATATGTGAAATTCTTCACCATTTACTGGAACATTTTGGTTTTCCTCCTTCTCAAATCATCTGTTTTGACAGAGAACAGAAGACATTTGTACAGTTTTCTTTCTGATTTCAGTATTTAATTCAGAATTTTTCTCCCAGCCAGAAAGGTTGGAGAACAGAGCCATTCCATATATACCTGTATGTCTGTTACCTTGGAGAAATGACTTTTGTAGGTTCTCCTTGCAGATGGACTGGGATTGGTTATTCCAGCACAGGATTGACCTCTGCTATCAGATTTGACCACTGCATGCAGAGCATGTTGCAATAGGAATCACACCAAATAGTAATTTTCTGAGTGATCTGAAGGCATGTTTGCCAGATCTTACCTTGGGGGAAGATTATCAAGGGATAGCAGACAGGACACTTCAAAGAAGAATGGAAAAATATAGCAAGTTCCATTTGTGCTGTGTCCTGACTTACACTTTTCATCTCACTTTATGCTGAATGACATATGTAGCAAATTTTTATAGGTTGTGTTAACATGTGAATATTGTAAATTTTTCTACATGACTTGTATATAAAACGTTTTTACTAAATAGTTTTTTAGTCTCACAGTGATTATTGGTGTCATCCTGTGGCTTCCATGACAACCCTGTCTTAAATCATTTCCCTGACATTGATTGGTATCAGATATAATCCACTAAATGGTTGCAATGCAAAGGACAAAATGCAAACCATTGAGCAATGCCATGTTGTGTAATTCCATGTAACTGGCTTCCAGATCCCAGCTGGTGAGCTGCATCTGGAAGCAGTAAGCTGAAGAAATCCCTGAAAACGATCTTGTGACCAAGGGACAAAATTCTGAGCGTTTCCCTTGAGATACTTCTCATGTTTCTGGACTTTGGCAATTATTTAAGCACTGGGAATTATTATTTGGTAGCAAAACATCTGATCTTTACCCATTACCAAACTACAGTAGAAGATGTTTGTTTAGCCTGGAGAAGAGAAGGCTCTGGGAGACCTTACAGCACCTTCCAGGACCTGAAGAGGCTCCAGGAGAGCTGGAAAGGGACTTTTCACCAGGGCACAGAATGACAAGGCAAAGGGGGATGGACTCACACCCAGAGGACAGGATTAGATGGGATATTGGGAAGGAATTCTTCCCTGTGAGGGTGCGCAGGCCCTGGCACAGGGTGCCCAGAGCAGCCGTGGCTGCCCCTGGATCCCTGGAAGTGTCCAAGGCCAGGCTGGATGAGCAGCTGGGATGGTGGAAGGTGTCCCTGCCCATGGCAGGGGTGGAACCAGTGCACCAAGGGATGGAGTTCTCTCTGGAGCTGGGGAGTGAGTCTGAGGAAGAGGGACACAATGCCCAGGTGCCACCCAGTGAGCTGAGTCTAAACCTCAGAATTAGTGACTGCAGAGCCCAGCTTTGCTGATCAATAATCCAGCAGTGTTTTGAAGTCTGCTTGCAGATATTACTGCTATATAAACATCTGTAAAGTAATTTGAGCTCATTCTGTGTTTTACTTTATTAAGCTGGATTACTGCTATTCCAACAGCACTCCAGTGATGAGAGTTGCTAAACCATAACCTTTGAAAGCATACACCAGGTGCTACCTCCTGCTCTAAACCACATTTATAACAACAGTCAAAACACCTTCTGTCCCTGGATATAATTAAAAAAACCTGAATTTGCTTTTCTCTGAGTTTTGGAGGTGCATAATTTTAAAATGAATCTCTGCCTTACAGTCTGTTTTCCAGTTTCTTCTTCTCTCCACAATAAACACATAATGATTGTAGGTTCAAAGCCTTCAGATATTTCCATGACAACAAAGACTGATATAAACAAGAATTAGAACTTTACTGGACAAGAAGAAAACTGAAAGAAATGAACATAGGAGAGAAATCTCAAAGCTCCCCACAAATAGAAACTCTTCTACTTCATCTCCAGTGCTCAATGCAGTTTTGAAGCTACTGAAGAGAAACACAAATAATTTAAGATTTCCATGAAAGGTAAATGTCTAGTATAATGTGTTTTCTAAATTATCTTTTTAATATCTGGTTTGCTCATACATCCAGCTAGTGGATAAATAGAATAAAAAGTCCTTAACTTCAGCCTCTTTCTCTCATTGCAGTATGACCAATGCCTTCACTCTTGTCTTCTTGGCAACATGAAACTAATGTTCTTGTAGCTGAAGGCTGGTAGATAACTTCTGGGAGCCTAAAGCCATCTGCTCTCACAGTTCTTACCTCTTCTATCACCACTGTCTGCACCACTGTCCTTCAGCAAATGCAAAGTCCAAGCAGGAATCCATCATCATGCAGTGTTTGTGGATGACAAATCTTTACATTCCATCAAATTTGGCCTGCAATTGCCAAAGAAATAAAAAAGAAAACTAAAGCTGCCTTTCTTCTCTCTCAGCTGGCATTTTTTTCTGGCCCTGACCCAACCCCATGCAGGAAAAGCAGCCAGAGGAGCCCTTGACTCATGATACCCTTTCAAGAAGGAGATCAATGTTGCTGCATTTGAAGTACAACTGCCAGTTCTGATCCAACTGGCTCAAAACACATCAAACTCCCAAGGAAGGCAGGGTTAAATCATTGCATTGCAAGCTCAGGTTGTCTGGAGTGTGCAGATCTGGTGCTCACTCACTGCTGGGTACTTGATTTGGTATACACACCACAATCAGTTATTATTCTAGAAAAGAATAAATTATTTTCCTGTGAAACCCCCCCCCCCCCACAAAAAAAAAAAAAAAAACCAAAAAAAAAAAAAAAAAACAAAAACACCCAAACGAGAACACTTTTCTCTCCCTGGGGAAAGAGAAATAGTCATTTTTGACAAGACACAGTTGAGCAAAAAGAATTTAATGAAAGATCCTCTCTATAGAGAAAGTCACATTTATAGCTTAGGGTCATTTTCTCTGGTAAATATCAACATCCTGCAGCTAACACCACTGGTCTGGGAATGTATTAGGGAAAAGAAATTTGAAAAAGGAGTGAAGAAATTTTTAAAAGGAGTGAGTGTAATAATGCAAAGTATTTGGCAGCCTAACCACATAAGCAGTTGCCATCTCCTCCATAATATAAAGCAATGTCATGTAAATTAGACTGGGACACAGTTCTAACATGAAATAACTGTATTTTAGTGGCATAAAGTCCATTATTTTTATTCAGACACACAACTATGCAGGCAGCTGGGTAGACAAAGTGAGAAGTACATTAAACTCTTCCTCCTTTTCAACTGCAATAATGTGCAGCCATCCCTCATAAAATTTAGCAACTGTTGAGTAACTTGCTGCAAAACTGTCTCACAGTTCATGAGCAGGAATGAGAATACTGATTCCAGTGAAACTGCAAAAATATATCATCCAAATTAGGATATGGACAAGGCACAAAGGCTAATGCTTGCATGATTACAGAAGGCACAAATTACAGGAAACAGGCACATGCAGAGGCACAGGCAGAGTAACTCAGCATTGTGTCACATCACACTTTGCTGTCTACCCTCCAGCAAAGCCCTGCAGCCGTGGAAGGGAATGCTGGAGTGCACCCAGGGAAAAGGCACAAACCTGCTTCCCTGCTGAACTGATGGAGCTCAGAGCAGCCTGGGCTGGTGGAAGGCATCCCACGGCAAGAGGTAGGAATGGGATGAGCTTTAAGATCCCTTCCTACCCAAACCATTCCACGATTCTGTGGTTAAGGTAGATGCCAACATGGATTCAGAGCACTGGCTGTCCCCTGTGAGCTGGGACACAAGAGATCCAGCCCCTCCAGACAGACAGTAGTGAAAAAGGTTGTGTTGCAGCTTGTATACCCTTAGAATTTGTGGGGACAAGCTGGAGAAATACACCCTATACAGATGTGTGGGAAGTTACTTTGATCTCACCTTGTTCTGCTCACATCTCATTTCAGTACACCGTTCTCCTTTGGTACAACAGGAGTCTGCAGCTGGGGGAGCACGGCTCTGTCTGTGCCTGCAAAGGGCAGCGCAGAGGACAGCAGTAACACGCTGAATTGAAATTTAATTGCAGGTAAATCATGTAAACGCGGGTGTCTGCTGCCGCTTCGCTGAACAGGAGCCTGGCCGGGCTCCTGCCAACATCCAAGGGCAGAGCAAAGATAGGGAGCGAGGAGGCAGCGATCGCACCCGGGCTGCGGGACCGGCTGAGCGCCGCGGGGCGAAGTGTGCGGGGACAGAGCGCCGAGAGCGCCGCCCGGGGAAGGGACCGCTGCTCGGGGAGCACGGACCGGGGCACCGCACCGGGCACCGGGAGCACGGACCGGGGACCCGCACCGGGCACCGGGAGCACGGACCGGGGACCCGCACCGGGCACCGGGAGCACGGACAGGCGGCACCGCACCTGGGTACCTGGGCACGGTACCGGGGGCACGGACACCCGCACCTGCCCGAGCGGGCGGGCAACGGGGCAGGGAGCGGGGGCGGACCGTGCACGGGCTGAGCCTCGCTGCCCCCCCGGGGGCTCGGGAAGAAAGTTTGGCGGCTGCGGAGCGGCCCGCGGGGGTCGCAGCGGGGCCGCTCCGTGCCCACGTCTCCTGTGACGCGCGGCAGCGCCCGC